ACACAGTTAATTATATGGACAATCAGCTGATTAATCACTGAACACAAGGTTTTATATTCTCTAAAGCAATTAAATGCATTTTCTGTATTACATAGAAAACCGTACGCTGTAAAGTGGCATGGGATTGATTTAGTCCACCACTCCAAGCTGTGATTCTAAATAAAAACCACTAGATGGCAGAGTACAACTGTTAATATTGAACTTGCGCCTCGTGTGTCAAGCAAAAACACTTCAATCACAAGAGGTTTTGCAAATCTGACCTTATTTGGCTAAGCAGGTTAGATCTCGACATGTTTTAGCTGAAATGCACTTGGTACTCTTCCTGTTTGTCATTGTACATAGTTATTCGTGACTAAAAATCCGAAGACAAATTATGATAAATGTCAATATTTGATTGGTGGGCTCTTTCTAAGGTAATATTTTTAAAACATGAGAAAGTGTGTGTAAATCATAAGCCTTCTTATATCCTTATATGCTTTGTGCTTAAAAAAAAAAAAAATGAAGGTCAGCTCGATCCTCTGAGCATTCATTTGTTCTTTTATGCAAGTAACCTCTATTCCATCAATCACCCATGACCTGTGTGCTATTATCTAATAACGTGAAAAGACAGTGGAGAGTTTTGTAATGAGGTCTGAACCCCTGGGAGAGATGAAATTGAATAGAGATTAAACATGGTATCATTCAGCTGATATTCACTTGAGTCTAACTCCACTTGTACTAATTATTACTAACTAAATAGTGGAAAGACAAACTAGAGCGTTCAACAAATTGTTGAAAAACGAGCATGAATTTAAAATTTTTGCGTTTTCTTGGGCAAAACTTGATGATCATGTTGTTCACCAAGATTTAAGATCCAAAGATCATCTTGTGCTTTCAGTGGAAGCAAGAAAATCACATGCATGGCCAATGTCACACATTTGCTTATAGTTCAAAATAATGCTGAATCTTATAAATATTTCATCATTTTATGCTTTTTCCTGGTTTCAGAAATCAACATTTTTACATAATTTAGATTCTAAATTCTATTCTCAAAGTGGTCTCTGCATGTATGTTATATTGCACTTTATATAATGTTAATTCTATACAATTATTTAATCTCGTGTAATTATTTAGTAATAAAAAAGAAAGGAACCTTTTATTTGATAACTTTATACAACTAATTTGCTATTTAAGCCTATAAAGCTGGTGAAATAGCTTCCCTTACAAAAAGAGAGAGAGAGAGAGAGAGAGAGAGAGAGACACAATGCAATGCACTTTTTATGCAAGTAACCTCTATTCCATCAATCACCCATGACCTGTGTGCTATTATCTAATAACGTGAAAAGACAGTGGAGAGTTTTGTAATGAGGTCTGAACCCCTGGGAGAGATGAAATTGAATAGAGATTAAACATGGTATCATTCAGCTGATATTCACTTGAGTCTAACTCCACTTGTACTAATTATTACTAACTAAATAGTGGAAAGACAAACTAGAGCGTTCAACAAATTGTTGAAAAACGAGCATGAATTTAAAATTTTTGTGTTTTCTTGGGCAAAACTTGATGATCATGTTGTTCACCAAGATTTAAGATCCAAAGATCATCTTGTGCTTTCAGTGGAAGCAAGAAAATCACATGCATGGCCAATGTCACACATTTGCTTATAGTTCAAAATAATGCTGAATCTTATAAATATTTCATCATTTTATGCTTTTTCCTGGTTTCAGAAATCAACATTTTTACATAATTTAGATTCTAAATTCTATTCTCAAAGTGGTCTCTGCATGTATGTTATATTGCACTTTATATAATGTTAATTCTATACAATTATTTAATCTCGTGTAATTATTTAGTAATAAAAAAGACAAAAAAGGAACCTTTTAATTGATAACGTTATACAACTAATTTGCTATTTAAGCCTATAAAGCTGGTGAAATAGCTTCCCTTACAAAAAGAGAGAGAGAGAGAGAGAAAGACACAATGCAATGCACTTGACTTGACACTATCTTACATCTGCACAGTATATACTTTACAAATTGTGCAGTAACATTTAATACATATTTCAACATGTATAACTGTAAGTTTTTCTTTATGCAGATACATTTAAACTTTATGCAAATACGTTTATTATTTGTTGTGCGTATTATTTTTGCACTTTAAGCATGCATTGGGGAAAAATGTCAGTGTATTGGCTTGGGTATTGGGTATTTTTATTGAACACATAATACAAATTAGGTGGTACATGAACAACAGGTGAATGTTCCCTGTGGTCAGTTCTATCTGCAAGCGCCTCTGTGATGGACTTTGCCATCCATCCAAGGACTCCCTGACCTGAAATGCTGGTTTAGAGGATGGGTAGACATACTTAAAGTGCAAAAATTATATATAAATAGTAAACTATAGGTATGATTTTAGGTTCAAGAAAAATTGCAATAGCCTACACTTGTGATATAAAAACTAAAAAGTATATTAAACTAAAAAGTAAAAAGACAAAAACTAGTAAATTAACGTTCACTAGCAGTATAGTTACAAGAAGCGCAGATGTATCCTACCAGTTGTGTCCTCAAAATGTACTATTGTAACGTACACAAGTATACTTTTCTAAACATTTTAGTCCCAAGCTACATTGATATTATACTTTGCTTTGAAAGTATACTTCAATTTTCGTAATAAATTTAGTCCTACCTCTTTTTTTGAAAGGGTATTCTCACTAGCCTATATCATAGGCCTGGGCCATAAAAGTCTATATCTATAGGATAGATAGACAGACAGACAGACAGACAGACAGATAGATACATAGATAGATAGATAGATAGATAGATAGATAGAT